CCCTAGGGACGAGGTTGCTTTCTTTTTTGAAAAATCTCTCAGCAAGCTCCTCTGCAGCAGCTCTTTGCTAGTGAAATTTTCCGGTATAAAACACTTATTCTTGAAAAAATCTGGGAATAATATAATAAGAAAAGTAAGGAGGAAAATAACAATTTCAAATTTCAATACAATAGAAGGAATAAAATTAAAGAAAAATTTAAAACCAATGAAGAAAAATGCATTGCTCGCTAGTATTGGTGGAAACATCCGGGAATTCCCCAGTCGTTATTAATATTTCCTACATTGTTTTACAAAATGTGAATTTTTGAATGAAAGATTAGGGTTAAATTAATAGTATACTAGTATGACAAGCACGGGACAACAGCCAGCTATACGCCTATACGCTTTCCAACGAAAGTTCCTTTTGACAAGAATTTTCCCACCCTTTTCCTTTCCTATTTTTTTGTCCTTTTGGACTTCTCGTTTCGCCTTTCGGCTTTACAAAGACGTCATTGTCCTAAACATAAAGACTTTTTTGTTTTATTTTGTGGAAAATAAACTTGCAAAAAGCTTAGCTCGCAAAAGTGGGAAGTCTTTTGAGATCGAATTACCCCCAAAAAACTTATTTCAAATTCCAAGAAACTTGGAACAACTCAAGTGCACTTCTAACGTCTGTGAGCAGGCTAAGTGCACTTCCTGCATGTTCAAAAAGCTACGAGGAAATTAAATTAAAGCTTTCTTGAGTCAAGTATTTCCTTTATTTCAACAAAAAGATCCTGTTTTCTGCTGAGTATGACAAATCACCCGCGTTGTGCGTCATCGAAATTCGTCTCAATAAAATACAGTACCAGGAACTAAATATAATCATAAATACACTACACTTCACAGAAGCAAGAACTCGAGGCAAAATAGAAACGTGAAGTCCTTTTGATAATCTTTGTGCAGACACATTTTATATACAACATACGAGCAAATTATTCCCTTCTACACACGAAACGAGCACCCGGCGAAACATGGCCGACAATACGGGCAATGACGTCGGTACTGATACGAATGATTTCGCCGGCAATTTGCCGCGTCGTCTACCGCTTGGGAGGACTGAAAATTTTTGGCTTGGAATCGCAAATGAAAAATCAATCTTAGAAACAGCGCACATCTTACAGTCGCTTGGTGACTTTAGTGTCGAAGTTGAGCAAAATGTTCGCGAGGCGGAAGCAGAAGAAAGACGAAGAGAATTAAAACGACGAGTTTCTGTTAAAGAATTCTTCTCGAGTAGTTTAAAGAAAGTCTTCGAGACATTGGACATTATATTAGACTGGCTGGAACGGTCAGCCAAGAACGCCAAAGACGAGAAGAAGAAAAGTAATGACAAGACTCAACCTCGTCTTCACGGCGACAGAACTGATGCGGCGAAGACCAAAGATAACGTCGACGGCAAGCAACCAAATACTGATGAATACCAGAAGAAAGAAGGTGTACTGAGAGGGTTGTATCATATTACAGGTAGGCTAAACCAATAAACAAATTTGATTTATTCTCTTTGAGGGCAAGGGCGCGTCAAGGGCAAGACAGGCACGACATAGACTGCCAGACAGGAAGCTGTGACATCCTGTTAACCTGTAGAGTGACCAAAGATGGCAACCAACCAAATACCTATAATCAACGTACCAAGTTCACTCTTCGACTAATTAGTGTATATATTTTTATTATTTTAGAACTTGGCTCTTACGCATACTTTGTTAGCTTGCTTGAACTTGTTTCCAAATCCCTTGATCTGCCGGAGAATCTGTATACTGCCAAACGAGAGCATATCAAGGAATGCCTTAAGGAAGTCGAAGAAAACAAGCAAAAATTATTTGAACTGGTGAAAACGGCGTGCGATATCATGCAGGAGATTACCAGAGATGATAAATTCAACCACCGCAAAGCGGATGCATTCAACAGCACTGTTAGGCAAGCGAATGTGATTGTTGAGTCATGCAAGGATTTGCTATCCGACGCAGAGGAGACCATTGATGAACTAATGAAAATCATGAGCACAATGAAAACTGTCTCTCGTCTTATCCGCTTTGCTGGATTTGGTGTAACCATTTACATGCTGTACCAAATTAGCCCTTCCACATCGACAGTGGATAGCCTGGCTAGCTATATCCCACAAGCTGTTCTAACCCTAATCTGGGAACTTGTGGGAAACTTTAGCCTGAAACACATCGGTTTTGCAGCATCGTGTGCAGTCGCTGGCTATGCGTGGCTGTCCTTGTTCCCCAGCAGAGCATATGCATTCCGAGACGATCTGGAAGACTTAAAGCTGAAGCATAAACGTCTCACTCATGCTCTGCGTGGCTTAGAAAAAAGACTGGAAGCTGCAACCGAGTATGTTCACTGAGAAATCAAACGGTATAGTAGTCATATCGTGAAGACAGTGTTTAGATGTAAAACTTTTGATAATAATGTAATTTTAATAATTGATGACATTAATAGTGTAATTTTAAAAAACGTTGAGCACGTAAAATCCACCATGGCCATGCACTGCTGTATATATTTCACTAATTTTCATTAATAAATCTCCTTTCTTCGTTTCTTTAAAGCAAAATTGAAAAATTGCCACACACTTCATTGACATTGTCAGGCCATAGTAATAGAATTATATCTTTTTTAGGAGGCAATTTTTTTCAATGTCACGTATTTGCAATGAAAAGTGTTCAAAACCTAAAATATTTTTGGCGTTCCTCTCAAAATTACTTTGTTTTAACTTTATTCTCTAGTTTATAGAGTTAGGTGTAAAATTTAGGTGTAAAATTTAGGTGTAAAATTTAGGTGTAAAATTTAGGTGTAAAATTTAGGTGTAAAATTTAGGTGTAAGATTTAGGTGTAAGATTTAGGGTCAATTTTAAAGCATCAATATCATTGATAATTGTATTTTAATTGACAATTTTTACACCTAAATTTTACACCTAAATTTTACACCTAAATTTTACACCTAAATTTTACACCTAAATTTTACCGCCATATTTACAGCCATATAAGCAAAACTTACTGAACTTCAAAGTTCAAACATAATTTTCTCTTTGGCGTACCATCTAAAATCTTTTCATTTTGGCATTATTTTACAGATAAAGCACCAAACATACTTTTTAAGTTTGTTTGCCAATTGAGAAACGTATCGAAAAATGAAAATTTTGAATTTAATCATAACCTCAAGTGATATATTTATACGCATTAGTTTTGAGCGCGTGTTACGTAACATACAAAAAAATCTCTTAAAACCGAAATAAAATGCTTATTAGTAAAAACCTCGGGATTCCCCAGTCGTTATTTCTCTATTGTTTTACATAATGGATCCCCTGTAATCTGTATTGTCATTCTCGTGACATCAATTTAAATAAAATAACATTTATTTGAATAAAATATTAGCCTGGCACGGAACAGCCGCCAAGCTATTACACGCTTTCTAAAGTGCGAGCAAATGATTTTCTTTGCAATTACACGCTTTTCAATTTCAGTTGATTCCATCGAAAGTTCCCTTCAAGATGAAATTCCCCACTTTTTTCCAGCAAGCTTTTCTATTTCTATCCCTTCCGGACTTCCCGTTTCGGGCTTTACAAAGACGTCATTGTTTTCAACATAAATACATCATTTCTTTGTGAAACATAGTAAGCTTGCAAAAAGCTTAGCTCAGCAAAAATTTAAGATCAAATTTTACCAATCCTGCGAGAAAATGATTTCCGGAATCCTATAAACCTCTCTTGACTTCTTAGAAGTCCTTAAGTCACCTCACTGTCAAACATGCAATGAATATTTGACTCACACGTATCGCAGATTGTATTTCGTATACGTAATGTTTAGATGGAGTGGTCAATCATTGCATTTATTCAGTTCAATGATCAAAATTTTCTGCTGAGTAGAACAAATCCATCGCGTCTTGCGTCATCGAAATTCATGTCTATAAAATACAATACTAGCAACTAAAAATAATCATAAATACACAAGACTTGACAGCAGTAAGAGCTCGAGGCAAAATTTAAATGTTAACTGATACCGGACGACGAACATTCTAAGAATATACAGGAAGTCCCTTTCGTAATCTTTGTCAATATTGAAGTCGTGCCGTCGCGACATATTTCATATATAAAGTACGAGCAATTTGGAGCAACTTATTCCCTTCTACACACAAAAACGAGCACCGAAACATGGCCGAGAATACGGACAACGACGCCGGTATCGAAACGAATGATTTCGCCGGCAATTTGCCGCTTGGAGCGAAAGAAAAATTCGGCGCTGCGATCGCGAATGAAAAGTTAATCCGAGAAATAGCGAAGATGTTACAGTCGCTTGCCGACTTTGGTGTCGAAGTCGAGCAAGAAGAACGCAATACCGAAGCCAAACAGAGAAGGGAGTTCAAACGACGCGTTTCTGTTAAAGATTACTTCTCGAGTTGTTTGAAGAAAGTCTTTGAGACATTAGACATTGTATTAGATTGGCTGGAACAGTCAGCCAAGAACGCAAAAGACGAGAAGAAAAATTCGGACCAGATTCAAGCTCGTCTTCACGGCGATAAAACTGATGGCGAGACCAAAGATAATGTCGACGGCAAGCAGCCAAATACTGATGAATACCAGAAGAAAGAAGGTGTACTGAGAGGGTTGTATCATATTACAGGTAGGTAAGCTAAAGCACTAACAAATTTGATTCATTTGTCGCTATATACTGCCATCTGTGCTGCCTTTTGTGTGTGCATGTGTGTGTGGGCAGGGGATCCGTGCTACTCTATAAACATTCGGACGAAGAGCCTTCGCTCGGAACGTCGACGTTCTACACTTCTACTTGTATTTTTCAAGTATAGTTGAATCCATTCCATCGCAATCCCCAGGTTTCTGGTCTTATTTTTAATACCTATATAGGCTATATACGATTGCACAAACCGTTCGCCAATTTCGGGTGAATAAATTATTCACGGCATTCGACCAAAGTACAAAGTTAATCAGTGTGATACTAATTCGTATATAAAATCATATGATTTTAGAACTTGGCTCTTACACATGTTTTGTTGGCTTGCTCGAGCTTGCCAGCAAATTCCTTGACCTGCCCGAGAATCCGTACAAAGCTAAGCGAGAGCATGTCAAAGAATGCCTCAAAGATGCCGAAGAACAAAAGAAGAATGTATTTGAACTGGTAGAAAAGGCGTGTGATCTCCTTCAACAGTTAACCAGAGAGCCTGAATTCAACCAACGTAAAGCGGCTGAGTTCAACAGCACCGTTCGACAAGCCAACGTGTTTATTGAGTCATGCCATGACTTGTTAACCGACGCAGAGAAGACCATTGATGAACTAATGAAAATCATGAGCACAATGAAACATTTCTCTCGTCTTCTTCGTCTTGCCGGGTTTGGTGCGACCTGTTACGGGTTGTATCACATGTGCCCTTCCTCATCTACAGTGGATAGCCTGGCTAGCTATATCCCACCCACTGGTCTAACCCTGATGAGGGGACTTGTCCTTAACCGTGGCGTGAAAGCCGTCGGTTTTGTAGGATCATGTACAGTTGCTGGCTATGCGTGGTTGTCTTTGTTCCCCAGCAGAGCATACGCATTCCGAAACGATCTAGAAGAACTAAAGCTGAAACATAAGCGTCTGACCCTGGCTCTGCGTCGCTTAGAAAATAGACTGCAAACTGTGAATGAGGATTTTCAAGAGAAGGCCAAACAATGGTCAAATCGTGAGGACAGTGTTTAGACATATAACTTTTGACAGTTTTATACCTTAATTCATTGTAAATATCTTTCAGTATAATGTTTATAATATAAGTTTGTGTGCGTCCTGTCTCGATTATTTCAATTATTTCCGATTTCCCCACAAGCAGGTTTTTCATTCAAACTACACGAAATTTATTGGCATAAAAATTTATTTTTCAGAAGAAAAATAATGATAAATTTTAATGGAGTAAAAAAGAAAGAAATTTCACGGAGATACAATTTTAAGGTCGGTTTAAAAAGGGAAATGATTGCTAGAGATTCCCCATAAGTTTTCTGTGCATGGAATTCTCTTCGTGGCGAGGCTAGCCATAGCAACAGGTCACACTATGCGAATCTTTAATGATTTGCATTATTCAAACCTTCAGAAATGTATTGTCTTTAACCTATTTAGGCTACGTTTACACTTGTACCGGATAGCTTCCGAGAGATGTTGTTTCGGTCAGCTTTTGTGCTTTTTCGCACATTGGTGCTTTTTCGCGCCGCTACGGAAAGCTATCGGGTATAGTGGAAACGTAGCCTAAGATGCAGGTTTATTAGCATAACCGTGACCAATTGCATCATACATATATTATTCGGCTCACTCTCCAACGGGGTTTTTCAGTGACCGATTACATGCGTTTATTAGTGAGTGGGAAACTTCAACATGGCCGCCATCTATTCAAATGGAGGTAACCGCTGGAATATTCTTGGCTTCAATTTTACTAAAAGAGATGCGCTATCTAGTTTATATAAGATATCTATGACTGGATCAGACTGGATTCCCTGTTGTTCTACCAAGGGAAAATCCGCATAGAAAAGAAATATAAGGCATTTAAAAAAAAAGTGGAAATTGGTTTCCAGTTGTTTGGGGAAAACTTTGGGACCCCCACTAGTTCAGATATGGATATTCTCTATTGTTTTATGGAAAGGGAATCCCCCTCTATATAGGAAAAAAATATGGAGAATTTTAAAAAGGGGATTGATTTCTTGTTTGGGGAAAACTTTGGGAACCCCCACTATTTCAGATATGGACATTCTCTATTATTTTATGGAAAGAAAATTATCCCCCTGTATATAAGAAAAAAATATGGAGCATTTTAAAAAGGAGATTGATTTCTTGTTTGGGGAAAATTTTGTGAACCCCCCACTATTCCAGATATGGACATTCTCTATTGTTTTATGGAAAGGGAATCCCCCTATATAGGAAAGAAATATGGAGCATTTTAAAAAGAGGATTGATTATACTTGGTTGGGGGAATTTTGGAAACCCCCCACTATTTCAGATATGGACATTCTCTATTGTTTTATGGAAAGGAAATCCCCCTGTATATAGGAAAGAAATATGGAGCATTTTAAAGAGGCGATTGATTACTTGATTGGGGAAATGTTGATATCCCCCACAGATATGGACATTCTTTATTGTTTTATAGAATGGAATCCCCTAATTAGGTAAATATTTCTATTACATTCCGTTTAAACGCTCAACCTAAATCGGCTGTATGTCACTGCCATCAATTTATTTCTGTTCTCCTTGAAGAACTGATTAGCATAACTTGCAATATATGGGAAGACAATAGCTGTTCTTTTTTTAATTGTTTCCTACACTGCCAGTCACTGAGGTACGTTTTCTTGATTCCATTCTTCACATATCAGGCAAAGTTCTTCTTGTTAAGGCTGCTTTACATTATCAAAGTCTCTGTGATCAGAGTTAGAATTTTAAATGGGCAAATTCTAAGTTTTGAAGGATTTGTAACTTTATAACACTCAGTAAGTTTCCTCAAACATTTCTTACAAATCCTTCAAAACTTAGAATTTACCGATGCAAAATTCCTACTGTGATCACAGAAACTTTGATAGTGTAAACCATCCTTTATAACACTCAGTAAGTTCTCTCGGACATTTCTTACAAATCCTTCAAAACTTAGAATTTACCTTTGCAAAATTCCTACTGTGATCACAGAAACTTTGATAGTGTAAACCATCCTTTATAACACTCAGTAAGTTTCCTCAAACATTTCTTACAAATCCTTCAAAACTTAGAATTTACCGATGCAAAATTCCTACTGTGATCACAGAAACTTTGATAGTGTAAACCATCCTTTATAGCACTCAGTCAGTTTCCTCAAACATTTCTTAGAAATCCTTCAAAACTTAGAATTTACCAATGCAAAATTCCTACTGTGATCACAGAAACTTTGATAGCGTAAACCAGGCTTAAACCAGGCTTTAGTCATTTATACTGTCTGTTGCAAAGCTAGGGAAATATAGGTGCACTTAGATAGTGAGTCAAAAGAAAACAAATTCATAAAAGCTTGAATGATGCAAATCGAAGCTAGGGAAATATAGGTACACTTAGATAGCGAGTCAAAAGAAAACAAATTCATAAAAACTTGAATGATGCAAATCGAAGCTAGGGAAATATAGGTGCACTTAGATAGTGAGTCAAAAGAAAACAAATTCATAAAAACTTGAATGATGCAAATCGAAGCTAGGGAAATATACAGTAGATGCACTTACATAGTGAGTCAAAAGAAAACAAATTCCTTGAATGATGCAAATCGAAGCTAGGGAAATATAGGTGCACTTACATGTGAGTCAAAGAAAACAAATTCCTTGAATGATGATGCAAATCGAAGCTAGGAAATATGGAGTGCACTTACATAGCGAGTCAAAGAAACAAATTCATAAAAGCTTGAATGATGCAAAATCGAAGCTAGGGAAACATAGGTGCACTTACATAGTGAGTCAAAGAAAGCAAATTTCTAAAGCTTGGATGATGCAAATCGAAAATTTGCATAGTACGACCAGCTGAGCCACCTGCATCTATGTAGGTATGTAACCCCCACAATTATGTCATTGTCCTAATATAACTGAAGGCATCATGTTCTATTTATTGGAAGATTGGCTTAGCTTGCAAGAATGGGAAGACTTTAGTTCGAATTAAACCACTACAAGGAAGAACTTAATTCCAGGAAAACAGCAACAAGTGAACTTCCTGGCATTTAAAAACAGCACAAGCAAATTAAGACTGCCTTGAAACAAGATTTCGACGAAAATTTGGACGATCGAAAATTGATAATTGAAATTGCTTATGTTGTCAAAAGTGTGGTAGCAAATTTTGAAAACAAAACAAATCCATCCGTGTCAGAACACGTCTCCCCTGCGTCCCGCATCATTGGATTTAAGCCGGTTAAAATATCAATACCAGGAAGTGTCAGACATCATATA